ATAGTCAAGGTGTATTATAGCTCCCAAGGACAATGTGTAAGCGAGCAAAAGAGTAGCAACACCAAGATCTAAAATCCCGGGAAGTGGCACTTTTAATATGGTATAGAGGGTGAAGACTATAAAAAGTCCTTGAAGTAAAGAACAGGGAATTATAAGAATAAACAGGAAAGAGTGACATCACAAAGCTAAAGTAAAGTGTCTCTTGAATATATTAATTTGGAGGTCACTATGACTTTGGAAGAAGTAACTTTAGTGAGTGGGTAGAGTAGTGTAATGACGGCTGGCGGAATGTGTGTCAACAAACGGCAGTGAATTGAGCAGTGAATAACAAGTGAAGACAGCAAGAGATTACAGAGAAAAAAAAAAAAAGAAAAACTTGCCTGAGAAGGGAAATGGAGAGTATAGTAATTAAATTGGAATCTAAGATTACAGGAGAATTTGTTTCAGGCAAGAAATTTGTCATCTGCATTTGATGGCCAAATGTTTCTTGATAAAGTAAGAAAGAAGCTTGTATGAGAAGTATGAGGAAGGGTAGCATAGAGCAGGGGAAGGAGTCTTGGAAAGCAGTATGGTATTAAAATCAGGATAGTGAAAGTAAAGAAAAAGAAGTGATTAAGTAGAACTAAAGGCCCAAAGAGGTTTGACACAGAGTCTTTGAAGAGATACTCAGTCTCTAAACTCATAAAATTTTTGACAACATATTAAGTAGATTGAATATAGAAGTACAAAAGGTGGGAAGAAGAACCAATCCCAATCTGGAACCTTCCCACTAGAGTGAGAGAATAATGACGAGATGTAGGTAAAGCTTTCCAGAAGGTGGTTACAATATTAAAGTGTGATGTGATGGCAGTGGAAATGCAATGCCTACAGAAAGGAGAAATCGTTTTTTAAGATTTGATGCAATTTGCTAATGAATAAGATATAGAGTGTAGTCATGATGCCCTTGAATATTCAAGTGTAGGTAACAGAAAACAGAAAACGGAGGGAATTCAAATCGGTTTTAGACAAGATTATTAATTCAGTCTTAGATATGTTGAGTTACAGGTGAAGGTGAGGCATCCACATGCTTCACTGGGATAAAGTTAGAAAGATAAACAAACAAAACTGAAAATGCCTTCATACTTTAGTTTCCATATTGTTATAGTAGACATTTCTGTGCTAATAAGAGCTGAGTTAGATGAGGGACATGAAGAAAGCAGCTAAGAATGACAAAGAAGAAGAGAAAGGTTAAATATGCGAGAAATATTAAGCAATAGTGGATGGGAAGGAAGGCAGAGGCAGAACGGATGAACTGTTAAATAATTACATTAAACTATTTTTTTTTTCCTTAGGAATTGCTCACTTGTAATATGAAGCTTTTTCTCTTGCTGTTCTTTCAATCAGATGCTTTAAAATCTCTCTTTTTTTAATGTTCCCATTTTTTATTTTGAGACACTAGTCAAGGTTGGGTTGAAAAATCTGCTCTTTGGGCTCTAACTTCGGAGACTAATGTAAAATCACTGCAATGTGGTTAGATTAAATGATGACGATGATTATTTCTCTCTCCCACCACCAGATTAGAATTATGTCTTGTCAAAAGACATTATAAACTAGTTGCTACTCAGTCAACCCTGAGTTTCACCAAACATTTGAAAGCAACATTACAGTAGTAGAAAGAATAAATAAGCAGTAGGTTTTGTTATGTATTGCATGTGATCAGGTGCAAATAAAATACGTTGCCTGCTTAGGACCTTTTTCTTTTAATGTGAGGAACTCCTTCTAAGAATGGGTAAAAAGAGGAAAAATTACCTCCTGTATGACATTCTGAAATGCAATTTCATTAAAAATAATAACAAAGCCCTTTTTTCCTGCCAATATTTTGAAATTTCTTTCTCTATGATGCTGCCTTTTAAAAATTTTCATATTAAGTCATACTGTACAAAAAACTTCAGATCAAATCTTATTAAAATAACATTTCTATATAAAACAGAAAAAGCAAGACTATGAGAATGTTTTTAGCCATTTAAGCTATTCTTAATAACCAAATACTCTTTAAAACTAAATAAATGTTATTTTTTACTGCAACACCTCAAAATTAATTTCTTCTTTCACTCTAATAACATTGAGCCTTCAGGGTGCTGAAAGAGGGACCCCTCTTCAGAAGTGAAAAAAGTACATGCATTTATCATAACTGAGTCAGATATATTAAACTATTTACACTAAGCCAAAAGTTATCTATTTCAGATACTTCAGGGCCCCAGTAGTTCAACTAAGTTTTCCTGAGATATTCTCAGCAGAAAATACATTCCAACAAGTTTGTAATTTGTCCAATGTCCAATAACCCTATCACTTCTATTTCCACAATTACCTAAATCAACATCCTCAATGATCTGGATAAAAACACATACAACTTCCTGGGAAGTAGGAAACTGACATAGTACAAGGACAGAAGAAATACTCAGTAAATGAAGATCACTAATTTACAGGAACCAATCTCTGATGAGGTAGGCCTACCTTTGTGTCAGTTTCTAGCTTTAGTACTGAAAACATAGATGGGTTCCCTGAAAGACCTTGTGTTATGCAGGCAAAAGAAACACAGAGGAAAAGGCTTTCACGCTGCAGTGAGAATCAGTAAGAATTACACAAAAGAAGAGAGTTACAGGGACATTCTAGGAAAAGCAGCATGAGTAAGGATATAGAAATACGATTGAGAAGTACGGTTAGGGGTTTGTAGAAAGCATAAGTGTTCTGTAGGTATTGACCCACATAAATCATGGTAGGAAATAGCAGGTGGACATGCCTGGAAACTGTGGTCAGGGGCAAGATGGTAAAAAGCTACAGAGTCCAATTTTTATCCTTACCATATGGAGAAACAGGAAGAGCTTTCAAGAAGAGAAATGGCATAGAAACATTTGTGCTTTAAGTAAAACCCTGTAGAGGTTAAATTGAGAGTGGATTTGCGGAAACAAACTGGAAGCATGAAAAGCAGTTAAGGGCCCGGTAGCGTGGTCTAGTGGCTAAAGTCCTCGCCTTGAACACGCCAGGATTCCCTATGAGCGCTGGTTCTAATCCCGGCGGCTCTACATTCCATCCAGCACCCTGCTTATGGCCTGGGAAAGCAGTCAAGGACAGCCCAAAGCTTTGAGACCCTGCACCCACGTGGGAGACCTGAAAGAAGTTTCTGGTACCTGGCTTTGTATCTGCGCAACACCGGCCATTGCGGTCACTTGGGGTCAGAAGATCTTCCTTTCTGTCTCTCCTCCTCTCTGCATATCTGACTTTGCAATAAAAATAAATAAATCTTTTTTAAAAAAGAAAAGAAAAGCAGTTATGAGGTTGTGGCAATATTCTAGGATAATGTTTTTCAAAATTTACTGAGTACAAATCACCCAAGTATCTTGCTAAAATGCACACTCTGATTCAGTGGGTTTGAAGAGGGTCTGAGATTCTTTTTTTCTAGAAAGCTATCAGATGATACTAACCCAAAACCCATGCTTTGGAAAGCAAAACTAGGAAGGATGTCAAGGATCTGAACCAGTGTGGGAAGAGAAGGACTAGAGATACAGAGGGCAGGGATAAGCAGGAGGTAAAATAGACATGGCTTGGTGTTTCATTGAATATAGAAAGTGGAGAAGACTGTTGGTGATTTCAGTGAGCTGCAAGTGTCCACTTTGAAAGACTGAGAGGCTGTGATATAACTACAGTATCCAGGTGAAGTAATAATTGCCATTTGGATGTGTGAGTCTGTAACTTGACAGAAAGGTCATAAACATTCAGATGAACAATGAAACCAGGAAAACAGATTACATTAGGTAAAGTAAGATCAAAGATGGGGCCATAGGAATACCTACCTATAAATGAAGAATTATTAGAAAACTAAAATTCTATAAGAGAACTAGGTAAGAAACCAACACCAAAAACACAGAAGAGCAAGAGGATAATGGGTTACACATAATAAAGAATAAAGCTTCAAGAGAGAATAATGAAAATTTTCACATGAAGCAGTGAGGTCTAATAAAGAAGGAATTGAAAACGAACAGCGAGAAGTGGGAAGGACTTGAGTAGAAGAATATGAAAGGAAAATAAAATACACTGGTCGTGAGAAGGTGCCTATGGCACAGGAAGGGAACAAAAACAAAACCAACAACAACAACAAAAAACCAAAATCTGGTTAGAAGAACAAGTGGATCACTCCAGTCAGGACCAGTCTCTGTATTTTACCTGAATTCTTGCCACTCTTTCTTAGCGTGATGTTCTCTGTTCATCATCTTTCCATCTCATTTGTATCAATTGAAATAAATTAAATGTAGGAAGATTTTCTGGATCGTAATGTTTAATTTCCTAATTCCCAAAACCATAAAAAGTCAATGTCTGTAGCCTCTTGCAATGAAGTGATATTACTAGTCTATGCACTTGCTTCTTCACAGAAAATGGTACATTCTCATTTGCATTCTCAAGAATGTCTGGCTTAGCAATGAAGAGATTCTTAAACAATATTTAATGAATGATTGATGCAATCACATGATACTAAATTAAAATACTTCTTTATGTACCAAAAAACTACACTGAACCATAGGAATATCTAGATTTGATTCTGAAATTAATAGAAGTTTGTCTAAGCCATTCTGGGCTTCATTTTCTAGAAAACAAAAAAGTAGATTGATTCAAAAGTCTTTCATCTAAAATTCTACTGGAAAGCTCTCATTCAATAGGAGTAAAAGGGCATAGTGATGATCTAGTACATTTTATAAAATACAAACTTCCTAGAAAGAGTTCTGGATATCTTTACTGTTTACCATTTGCATCTGATTTTGCTAGAAGAGGTTTCTCTCTGATCTTGTCTGCAAACGTCTTCCTAGCTTCATTTCTTTTGTGTTTTTTCCCAACGTAATGTTGTTGGGCCATTAATGGACTATTAAAAGCAGCAGGGCAGAGCTTGCAATATTTGTTTGGATTATTCAAATCCTTCAAATCCAAAGCACCGCTGGTAGAAGAAGGCATAGTCTTGTCTTTAATCCCACCTGGAGGAGGCCTGCCAGCAAGGGACTTCAGGGAGATTGGCTCTGAAGAAGTAGGAACAGGCATACCTGCTGAAATAGTTGTAATGAGAAGTGATTAACATTGTGTTCATGTATTAGAGCTGCATTCGTTATAAAGTGTAAAGAATTCCGAGATTTTCTAGAAGCTAATTATCTTTGGACTTCTTCAGAAGAGAGCTGAGGAACAGAGGTACTCATGTAAAAAATAATTTCCGTATATAAGAATGAAGATTTTAATATGTCTGTCATAAAAGAATCCATGCTCTGCATTATGTGTTGCCCAATTAGATTAGCAAGAAGCATAAATGATCAATGAAAGCAGGAGAGCTATCCTAATATGATTATTTGAAATTAGTAAAGGTAAATACATAGCACCAACCTTTTAATCGGTGTCTTTCTTGAATAACATAATTAGATATCTATTTAATCTAGATTTCTGACGTTCGCATCAGAATAAAACATAATCACTTAAGTCCATGAAATATTTTATGTTTTCACAGTTCCAGTTATTTCATAGTTCTTTTTACAATATTTATTTTCATTGGAAAATCAAATTTAGAGAGAGACGGAAAGACAGAAAATTTTGTCCAAAGCTTCACTCTCCTGGCTGCAACTGTTGCAGCTGAGCAGATCTGAAGCCAGGAGCCAGAAGCTTTCTCCAGGTCTCCCATATGGGTGCAGGGTCCCAAGGGTAAGCCGTCCTCTACTGCTTACCCAGGCCACAAGCAGGGAGCTGGATGGGAAGTGGAGCGGCTGGAACTTGAACCTGCGGGCATATGGGATCATTGTACGTGCAAGGCCAGCATTTAGCCAATAGGCTATAACAACGGGCCCCATAGCGCTTTCATTTACCCTCTTCTCTGAGGTCAAATCAATGAATTTTGAAGAGTGAAGATAAGATTTTTCACATCCCACTGTTTTTGTTTGTTGTTGTTATTTCTTTATATTGACAAGCAGAAAAGAAACATAAAAAATTATAGAGACCAGGCCAGAGGAAGATACCCACCAGAATACTTTTGGCATAGGTGGGGGGCAGACCAGGCTGAACCCGTTCACGTCACCTGCTGGTGAATCTAAGCACCAGAATAGAGTGTGGGTCAGGCCGGGTTCGGTCACGACGAAAACCAGTGCACATTACGGAATGGCAAGGTGGAGTGAGCCGTATCAGATGTGGTTGCAGCGCCCGAACAGCACATGTGAGAATCGGGGGGGGGGGGGGGGGGGGGAGGGGCAGAGCCGGAAGGGGGAAAGTGGGCTCCCCTGTTGGACAACCACTCCCACTGGAAAGCATGAGTTGGGATGGGGGTAGACCAGATTAGGCAGGGATACAACACCTGTGGGTCTCAGGTGAGCTAGATCAGTGACGGGCCAGGTTGGACTGACTATTGCACTGGTGCAAGCAAAAATTAGAGTGGGTGAGAGTTGGTTGGGCTTAGCCGCAGCATCAGCTGGCAGAGGATGGCACTGGGAGTTTAATCTGCCAAATTGAACTCCAGAACCACCTGGAGAGTGCATAATCCGGAAGTTGGAGTGGCCTAGTAAGGAGATAGTGGGCACCTCCTTCTTGGGTCACCACTCCCACTGGATAGCACAAAAACCAGGACGGGGTGGCTAAACAGAAAGGCACCCACCAGTATGTGTGTGGACTGGATAGTGGGGTTGGTTGGGTTGAACTAGGCTTCAATGCTCATTGACATGTATGAGAACTAATTGGGATATGGGACAGACTGAACAAGTCTGCAGTACATACTGGCATACATGGGAAGGGGCAGGCCTGGTGGGGGTTAGGGGTAGTCACCCCGGCTAGGCTGTAGCTCCCACTGGTTAGCGTGAGGACCGAGTATGAAGTGGGTAGGATCAAGCTGGACTACAACACTCATCGGTTTGCATGGAAGACAGGGCTGGAAAACATAACTGACCCAGCAATTGCAACCACCAGCATGTGCATAAACTCATTGGGGCTACGGATGGTGTCAGACCCTGTACTGGCAAATCAGGTTTGGGATGAAGTTTCTTTGGAAATCCCTTCAACTGAATTGCTAATCTCAGAACCCCAACCATGAAAGGACCATGTCAGCCAGTGGATTCTGAATAGATTTCATTGCGATTGGAATGGCAAGATTGGTAGCAATTCAGAACTGTTGAACTATCAACTGCTTAAGCAGGATCCTCGGAGCGTGCCTCACATCAGGGACCTGGGATGGGAGGGAGGCTGGGTGGGGCTTTTCGCTTTATTTCTCCCCTGACCCCAGATACAGGGAAAAATGTATTAGTGTGGAAACAATGGTATTACTCACTTTCCTGTAGCCCTTGACCCTTTGTTCCCTAAGTAAGTAAAATTATAAAAATAAATAAATAAAGTAAAATGAAAAAAAGATAAAAAGTTATAGAAACTAGATTAAGTTTTAAAATGAATTCTGGTTTCATTTATTAAGAAAAAGCATGTTTTCACAAAGTTTCCTGTTGTGCTGACTTTGTTACATGACACTTACAGGATGAGTTGGAAAGTAATCTTGGCAGATTGTCCATACCAGAAATGCTTTGATCATAAAGTGTTGAAGCTGTTAACAATGTGGTAATTTATTCATTACAGAGGATTAATCATATTTTTATTCTAGCATATACATTTTTCCAAAATACAAATTCAGTTTTCTATGATGTAATGTTGTATGTATGCTGAACCAGCATCATTGAAATGAGGAAACAGGTAACATTTTGTAAATGTATCTTTGGGATATATCCTAATATAAGTACTCAGTACCTTTCTTTTCTGTATTTATAGGAAGAAAGGAATGGGCTACCCTGATAGAAGAAGATTTAGTAGCATTATTTTTGCCAACAGGTATAGTCAGTGAATACTATGTCATGTGGAAAACATTGGTGTGATAGGAGAAAAGTTGTTTAAAAGTACTGAAAAAATGAAAAAGGGAAGAAGAAAGCACTAAGATGTTATGATTTTATGAGAACCTGATAGAGCTCTAGCTGCTTATTGTTGTTTAAAGCAGCAGAACAAATGATTTGCTTTTATTTGGACTTAGCAAACTGAAAATAACATTTCAGAAACAGCTAGTAATTGCAATCTCTATTTTAGATGATGAGGCTAGAAAGATTAATTAAACAGAAAGAATAAGTTTGTTTTTTAGCCACAGTGAAAATTTCCCCAACTTTTAACAAAATGGATGGCAGAGTTGAAGAAAAATAGATAGAACCTGTATTGAAGTTAAAGAAGTAGATGGAATCTTACCCATTCCTGGCTGAAATCCTGATGTAGTTGCATGATTGCTTTCCTCCGTTAACTTTTTCAGTTTTCTAGTATGAACTTTCCCCACATAGTGAGACTGAGCAACAACTGGGGAGCTAAAAATCATGTTGCAGATATCACAAAATCTGTTTCTGTCCATAACTCCATTCCTATCCATCTGAAATAAGCATAATCTTGTTTAAAAGATTCAATGACTCAAAATTTTATAAACTCACATCAACACAGATGACTTACCTGGAAATTCCCATCATCCATCTTTATTTTTTTACCTGGAGTTTCAATTTGTTTCCCATGCACTTGAATAAAATACCTAACATTTTCAGTATGTTCTTCACTCTGAAAAAAAAAAGGTGTGATGTTGTTCACTCAGTAACAGATTCCTCTTAAAATCCACACCTCTCTGACTTTGAGAAGAGTGTTCATGAATTTTAGTATATTTGGTCTCTATTAAGTTTATAAAAAGGTTTCACCTGCTTTGAAATATCTAAATATTGGTTAAAATTAAAACAACACTACAATTTAGAAGCCAAACATTTCTATATTCTTGTTTCAGACACATTTTTAGTTACTATACAGTGTGAAATATCTTCTTCCTTAGTTACAAGTCTTGGCAGTGGAGTTCAACAGTCATCTTTGACCATGAGGGATCTTGCAGATGAAACCCAACTTATCAGAGTGGAAAAATAGGAAATGATTAGTTCCCTGAGTTGTCATGGAGCCGTTTATCATTCCTGAACTGTCTAGCTTTTGAATTCTTTTATGTGAAGAAATATATTCTCTTACATGAAGAAATAGACATTATTTTAAAAATCGATGACCAAATGAATGGCAAAACAAATGTAAATGTCAGCATGTGAAGAAGACAGCATTTCCTGAGCAAATGTAAGGCAACCACTCTCTGTAGAATTTTAAATTTTGAAATATCACAGAGAAAAAGCATATATATCAATGATCTAGTTTTAACAAGTGTTAACACCTTATCACATTATTACTAATTGAAGAGATAAATATTGGCAATATAGTCATATACCTTCACAATATTTTCTTCCTTTGTCCTTCCACATAAGTAGCCATTATTTTTAACTTGGTGTACATACCTTTTTCATACTTTTCTTCTACTAGTACATATGCATAATGTATAAAATAGCACTCTTTTATTTAAAAGAGAAGTTTATGAAAATGTAATCCTTCGGTATATATCTCCTATGATTCATAGATGATTTGTTACGCAAGGGTCCATGTGTTTGATGCTTGGTACCCATATGATGATGTGAGAAGTAGTGGGAACTACTGAAGGAGAGGAGCTAGTACAAGGTAATTAGTTCACTGAGGAACCATTAAAGAGTTAATATAGTTCTCAATGCGACCTTGGTTAGTTCTCACATGAGGATTGCTATAAAAGAGCAAGACTGGATTTCTGTATTGTCATGCAATCTCTCAAAGTATGTTCCCTTCATATGCCATATGCCACACCACACAGTTGTGGGGATCCTCACAAGACCCGAGAAAATGCTGGGGCAAGGCTTTTAATTTCCTACAATTAAAAATCACTGAATCTCTTTTCTTTAGAAATTACCCATCCACCCACAAATGTCTAGTAATAGCTTTAAAAATGGACTTTGATAATTTTTCAAACTGTCTTTTTAAACCAGCATTACGTTTCTTCAAAAATGCTTTAAAAGGTATATGAATTTGAGAAAGATGGAGGAAGGGAGGAAGGATGCAAATGAGAACTAGAGGAAGAG